CAGCCTTTCCGGTCATCTCTAAAAACTCATTTCATGTCTACAGGTGAGGCAGTGATGAAAAATTAATTTTTAATCAATTAAGGCATCTCTCTCTCTCTCCCTCTCTTCCTTCCCCAACAAACTCATTGCTGACTTAATTTATATTTCACTCTTTTTTCAAAACAAAATTAACAAACCCTTCAATATATGAGAGCGATATTCGTTTGAGTCGATCATTGAATAAATGATAAAACGCTTGGATTGAAGATAACTATAAGACAAAAACGATATGATATTCTGTATGAGAGGAAAGAGAATATAAACTCTCATTTTTATGACAGGAATCGGGAATCAACTCCAGAGATGATCATCACATTTAATGAACTCGTTTTGGTGGCGGAACCCATAATTGTATTGGGAGTACGGGATATGAATGTCGGGAAATCAAAACGATATGAAATGATATCTAAAAGTGAAATCGAAATGATTTATCACAACAAATGTATTCGACATAAAGACTGAACATAAATGACATGAAATGAGTTTTTAGAGATGACCGGAAAGGCTGTAGTATTTCTTTGGTTTGAGACGTAAGTCAAGGTTGGCTTTCATCCCATAAATGATTTATCGATTAATTTGCGAACTAATAGTCTTCGGGTGTCTCTCCTTTCGGTTGTATTTATTTTGTTGCAAAAACAATACAATACTTGAATACAATGGTTGTCTTTAAGGCACACTTTCGCAGCAAACGATACTAAAAACGCTTGTTTTAGGAGTTGTGCTAAAAATATGTGCTTATGTTTAGGAAATGTAGACTCTTTTTGAGGACAAGTTCGCTCTCAACACAATTACTCGTTTGTTTGTCATCCGCTAAATATGTTATGCTATCGTCTATCAGTGCTATCATTGGTATCAATGGTAAGGTCTTTACAATTTTACATATGAATTGAGCGGTAATTCAATGAATGAATGCATTTTATAAATAGCGTCAAGAAGTTAAGCGATTGTTCCCTCAGATAATGGCATACAATAGCAGATCTTTGTGTTGTACTCTTCACTTGTCATTCATTTGAATTCTCACTCTCTTCGCAGTGAATGACTTATTCCTGAAAAATCATTTGATGGCATTGCCTACCAGTGCTGTACCAGTGCTCAGACAAATTCATATAACCTGATAGTCTGCACTCACTTTTATAGCCTCATCCCTGACTTCTAAATGCTCGACAAATATAGAGAAATAGGCAAAAAAAGTGAACATAACTTTTATATATATGGTATATATCTATGAATGTTAGCGCAAATGTGTTCACAAGTACTTCGATTATTAACAACAGAATATTTTTCTTCACTCGTCTTCCCTTACAGTCCTCTCTCACTGTTTGTCTGCTCTCTAGAGATGAATAACATTTACTTCTCATTCAGACGACTCACTCAAACCCTAAATGTAATTAGAAATGAAATAAGAGGTCTAACCCATCAAAACAGCTTATTATTTCCATACCGTTTCACAAACTCAATGCCATTTCTTGTGAATTACAAATAAATTTGAAATTTAAGAATATTCTGCGAATAAAAGAGATTTCAATGTTTGCCAAAAACAAGAAAACAAATCCAATGATTGAGTAAATGATTTAAACAAATTATGGTATAATATATTTGCACCAAAACTTATTTGTCATTCACTCTGTTTCTCAGTTTTATTTAATTTGATTTTTTCGTTTCAAATGCTTTAAATGTTGATTTTAATGTAAACTAATGTCAATATTAGTTTAAAATCCAATACAAGTTCTGATAAAGATTTTTCTCAGACTCTTTTGAATATAAAGATATCAAATATTTTAATACATTTTATTAGTGTTTGCGTCGATAATAAATTTGATACGTTTTCTTGATATTAAATTTTTGATCAGAAAAATAGAGCAGACGTTCAAAAGGGACGTGAAATTGGATGAGAAGACAAAATAACGAAAAGAGAAAAAAAGTTATTTTTTAATTCTCTCGAGAATGACAATTGAGTTGATTTTTACACTCTTTTTCTGTATATTCGATGTCTATTTGTAGTCCAACTCAAAGAAACACTTCCTCAACACTGCAGAGATGAGAGAGAGAGAGAGAGAGAGAGAGAGAGAGAGAGAAGCTGTGCTAAGAAGTTAAGAGTTGGCAGAATTGGCTGAGCGTTACGACAACTTCTTTAAGAGGGCATGAGTTAAATGGTTGAGCACTTACTTTGAAAACAATAGTTCCACTGCTTTCACACACACGACAGAGTCGTTGCTATAAATTTCGATCGCAAATCAAAATACAAGAGATTATAAATCACTAAAAACATCGATCGGACAGAAAAAACACATACAAGATGTGAGGGAATGGATGTCAGGGTATATACGAGAGAAAGTGAATGCCATACGAGAGCGCGTAAAGCAATAGTTATTAGATTAGAGATATTGGTTAACAAATATGAGATGAAATTGATATTAAAATGAATGCATTTCTTATTCATAAGCGCAGGCAAATAGTTTACAAGTGATTTGAAGCACAAAATGCAATACACTTTTCTTCACATTTTGTTAGCCTCTAATCCCTTATTCAAAAGGAAATCATTTTCCATCCACTCTGTTTTCAATGCTCTCTTTCTTTCACTCACTCCCTCTCTCCCCTCCTATCCCTCCCTCAATCTCCCAGTGCTCTTATGTTATGATTGTAGTGCCAGTAGTGCCAGAATAGGCACACATTTATTTGCTTTGGCTTTTGATCTTTTTTTTCTGGTCGACTCTCATTGTGTTGTAGACTCGGAATCCATGTGTGCATCGGTTGTCGCGAACACTGTATTACTTCTGTGTTCACTCCATATGTACTCTACTGTACATAATATGTCTGCAAAGTGTTTGGAGCACACAATTGATGAATTGGTGTCCCGACACTCCGACACTCCAGCACTTAATGGATTTCAATGTAACACAATGTCAATGCTTTTTTTGTAGCCATACATACAAAACACTAATACTATTCTGACTTTTGATGACTTGACTTTCAATGAGAAATGATTGAAATCAGATATTTTCCATCAAAATAACTAAATATTGCGCTCAATATTGACTTTCATTTCTTTTATTATTATAATTCGGGTCTATTTTTATTACATTTTTTGCTGCGTTTAATGTGAATGTCTTATAATTGGATTTTTGCGTATAAATATAATTAATGTCTGACTTACTTTCCTAACCAATATTTCATTACATTTGTTGTCTTTTTTATTCATTTAATTAGCTTTTAATTTAGACTCAAATTCTTTTGTCTGTTTTCTTCTGCTCCCAATACTCCCAGACCTCACAGTTTTTCTTCTGATCTCTCATTTACTATAAAAATAAAGTCATAGAAAAAACTGTTGGAATTTGTAATCGCATTGAATCGATAAAAAGGCAAAAAAGAGGAATTCTGTCTCCCATTCCCCTCACTTACCACCGATTCTCTCTCCTCCTCTCCTCTTGTATTCATGATATCAATGAAATTTGCGGTAAAACTAAAGTAAATCTTATAAAAATGGACAGACATTGCACTCACTGTATAGTATCCATGGCTTTTATGTTTGTGTTACTGATATCTCAATAGTAAATATTCTGATGGCTATAACAGAATTGTTCGCTCAGTTTATGTGCACTGAATTCAATCATATATTTCTTGTAATACAACGAAATGAAAAGAATATTTTGATTAAATAAAACCAATAAAACTTTTGTTTTACTATAAGAGCACACTTTAAGAGCAAATGGTCATAAATATTGAGCACTAATTTTAATTATAAGGGGAAAGCAAATGCAAGTGTTGTCATAAAATTTAATCGTTTAAGACATTTGCAAAACATGTCCACAAAATTGAGGAATAAATTAAAAATACGGTTAACTTGAAAACTATAGTAATTTATTCGTGTATATCGTTATACACTAGTTGTTTGGTATATATTATATCATATGAATAGCGCCCGTAATTATAACCAAAGAGTAAAGCAATTCTCAACGGAAATTAGTTGTATTAATAATAATCCGTTGCCATTAATGTATCAAATGATTAATATTTGAAGTCATATATAAGTTTATTTCAATTAATATTCAAATTAGATTTTTCACTCATACCATAGCATAGCATACCATACAATACCATACCTAACATCCATAGCATCGGCCCATAAGAAGGCTGTAATTTGCATTTATATTTACAAAAATTTCTTTAATCAGACAAAATTTATAATCCATTTTCTCATTTGTGTTATTAATTTCTTTCATTCTCTCCTTTCACTGCATTCTGTGTCCAAAAGTTTATGACTCGAGAAATAAGACGAAAAGCATTTGGCGAACACTAATGTATTGCATAGTTTGTGTTGTCTTATAGTAATGTATGAGCCTTTGAGTCGTAACTGCAAAAAGTTTGAGCTCTAATAAAAAGATAGACTAAATTAGTGAATAAGTTTAGTGTTGTATACAATAAATTACATTAAAACGAGTAGAGCTAAAGGTTATAATGATTTTAACTCACATTCCGTTAACTCTTGTAAAGATATAGAGATAGGAATATATCTACAGTAGTGTACATACCATATACTCTACACATTGTAACGTATACTCCAGTCAACTATATTTAAAACCCTTACATAACTGTAACCACTATTTAATTAATTGAGTACTTTCTACACAAGTCATCGCCCGTTTCTCTAACCAGTGTTTTTTTCATAGAGATAGTCATCAAAATTGTTTCCATTCGCTACTATTGTATTGTAAAAACCCGTTATTTATTTGGCAAATAAAAACTTAAATTCAAAAAATCGTTTTTATAACTCACAAAAAAAATCCCGCAGTTTTTATGAGAGAAATTGAACTCAAAAATATATATATTGAAGAATATAAACATACAAAATGTGTGGACCTTTTTTAATCAATAATTTTCTAAAGGAGTACAAAATATTTTATATATAAGATGTCAATAATAGGAAATATTTTGGGAAATAAAGTGTAAAAGAGTTGGAATTTATGAGCGTTTTTGTATGCATTTTCTAACTGTCCGTTCGGTTGTGTGACCAGAGGTTTAATAGTATAGTTGTATTTAATATCTATAATAATATATTGAATATTTGGGATGACTTGTAATATAAACGCATCAAATGATTGATAAGAGAGGATGGAGTGAATGAGAGGACACATACAGTATGTGTTGTCTGAATGAATGCTATGGAAGGAACGGGAGGTCAAGTCTGCGGGGGTTTTGAGGCAAAAACAATGCCTTTCCATACAGAATAAGCTAAACATTAGTTTTTGTTAAACAATTGGCTGACGAGTGGTTGTGTCCCCCCTATAGGGACTCAGGAGACAATGCTGTCCACCGATGGCTTAATGGTTTACGCGATTAATTGGTTGTTCGCCGCACTCAAGGCATCGAAGAGACGGTTTGCCATCAAATGCAGTGCCGCCCAAATCGGCCACAACGGCATCAAAGACGTGTTGGCTAACCATCACTCATCATCATTATCGTCATCGCCAGCCAACACATCCACATCATTATCATCACCCGTTTGCTCCAAAATAAGCGCCAAATTATTGAAGACAAACACAATTCTCTCTCAATTGCGCGAAATATCATGCATTAGCGCGAAGAGAGCCGCACATTGTCTCGACATTATTACCGCTAATTATAATCAAACACAACACCAACACAATCACAATCACAACACCTCCGACACCAACTCATCGTCACTACTGTTCACACTTCATGTCTATCAGTATCAGATCATCGCCAACACCAACGGCAAGAATACCGGTTAGTCTCACCAATTCCTACCTCTTTTCTCTGATCATCACTTTTAACGTGTGGTTTGTCTCTAAAATAATCATTTATCAATCTTTTTGTGTCATATTTTAATTGATTTCTACAAAAAATATCATCAATTTTTTGTCTCTACGCTTAATATATGATATGATAAAGACTTAAATATTATATCTAAACCGTTATGTATTTGAAAGCATAGAAAAGTTCATAAATCTGTTTCTCCGGCAAAACACAGGGCATCGCATCGACAGTAAGTTAATCCCTGTTTCGGCACATGTATGCTATGCCTGTTGTGCTGATGGGTTGCGCTCTTTTGCACCTGACGTCTAAACCAGAGGAAAGAGAGAGAAGAAAAATCATAAGCAAAAAGGATGAGGAAAACCTTTTTCTGACACTTATTATTATATAAATCTGTGATTCAAAGCCGTTTGCCTTTCGGCGCGACACAGAGCTATGACAGGCCATCAAAATAAAGTGACAAAAATAATTTTTGCCTAAAAACTAAGCCCCAAAACAATTTGAGAAATATTGCGCCGACAATAATATGTGACATTAGTTTTGTTGCTTTTAATGTGTTTACATATCAACACAAATGAGTTATACTTTTCAAACAAATTATTTATTAATATTATTTTTAAAAGCGACAGAAAATTAGCGCAGAATTTGTTGTTTTGTTGTTTTTTCTAGACTTTTAAAACATATATAATTTAAGAAACCAATTGAAGCACAAATTTTATTAATATAGAAATATTGCATTTTATAACTAAACGATTGAAACCAATTTAATGAGTTTGAAAAAAATCTCTGTTTTAAGTTAAATAAATTCTTATCGTTTGATGACTTTATTTACTTATTTACGACCTTTTCACGAGTTTTCATTGCGCTCTAAATCCACTCTAAATAATGGATTAAATAATGTAATAACGATTACAATCGATACCAAAAAAGTGTGTTTTTATTAAACGTTTGCATTAAAATTTCAATCTCTGGGCATATGTTGTGTCGATAATTATGTTAATCTCATTTAAGCGCTCGTATTATGTCGGCTATGGATTATATGTTATTGAAAGTACACATAAAAACACATATCAAACAAGTAATTAAATCACAGAATATATCCTCTCATGGATTTAATATAAGGTTTTTTGTTCTTTATTTCCTTAGACATGAAACTTGAGTTTTCTTTATTCTTAAAACCCTTTTTAAGTTAATTTTGTGTCAAAAGAAAAACAAAATGAGATTTCAGCTAATACTCGAAATAAAAGTCTCTCTCTCTCTCTCTCTCTCTCTACCAGATCGTGATCTTTATCGCATAGTTTGCTCTAAATAATAAATTACACTTCAATTACTTCTTATGATATAATACAGAAAGCGTTTACACAATTATATATCAAATACATAAATAGCTATACAAACCAATTAATAGAGAATTCACTGCTTTTCTCACATAAAATGGCAAATATTTTTCTCACTCATCAATGATTCAGTCATTAAGTGAAGACAAAAAGATTGCTCTTATATATAAGAAATAAGATTAATTTGATTTAAATTTTAGTATAATAATAGTATAGATAGTGTAATATTTGTTATCATATCATCGAAATTGTTGAATCGATTAGTAGAGAGAAGGCATAAAAATTCCTAAAAATAATATTATATTTAATTGGTTTAAGAGATGAGACGAAAAGAGAGAAAAGATATTATACTAAATGCCACTAAAAACGGATAGATATCATGGGTTTGGAGGAGAGAATAGACGAGTTGTGTATGTTTTACATCAAACATTCATTCATAATGAGACAATCGATCGCTAGTTTTGTCAATAGTTTGGCTTAAAAGAGAACAGTTAGACGAGAGAGAGAGAGAGAGAGAGAGAGAGAGAGAGAGAG